TTACCTGTTTGATGCAATGACTGTTTTTATAAATGATTCAAGTACTTTACCTTGAACATCAAGGAAGTACAGTCTCATCATCAGTGGTGCTGTTTTTTAATTTAATATCAAATCAGAACAGGAACATATTTTGAATAATTTTGATTTTCAATATTAAATGCATTATCTGCTCCCTCCCTGAGTAGCTCAGAGTGGTTTACATGCAGTTCTCCAAAACTGCTTACACACATTTCCCCATTCAAGCAGCTTCCAGGGTCAGGCACTGTTTCGGCAGGAGAACAGTACATCCTGAGCCTCCCTATGACAAATACAGATCTTTTAAGGCACCAAAGAAGCTCAGAAAACAAATCTCAGACTCCTCCAGTAACTAGCAACAAAGTACTGGTTGCTTGTAGTTCACTCCTTTCCCCAACTAACAAATCAACTTCACATCTGGTTATGAATGAACAGTCAGCCTTCACATTTGTGCAACAACAGCAACAATAAAGCATTTCTTACCTGCCTTACCTCATGGCTTGAGGCAGGGCACAGCACACTTGGAAACACATAATCATAAAAACATTACATAAAATATACATATTAAAACATATTTCTATAAAATATGCATATTAAAAAGTTGAACAACAATACAGTAGACACATAGTTAAAAATTGACTGAGTAAGACTCCCAGAAGAGATAGATTCTTAGTTGTCTCTTGAATTCCAACAGCTTATTTAGCTGTTAAATTGCTTCTGGCAGGTCATTCCACAGTCTTGGGGTGGCCAATGAAAAGGTTCCCTGGATGATGGATGCCAGTCGAGTTCTAGTGGGTTGGAGTAGACTCCCCAAGAGAACCTAAGTATCCAGGCAGACTATAGGGGAGAAAGTGATCCTGTAGGTAATCTGGACCCAAACTTAAACATCGACTGCTTTTGTGGATTTAATTAATGTGATCTCTTTAGGAATCTCTAGGTCTTCCAATGTGACTCTGTGCTCAACTTCTGTGAGAAGGTGACCACTGAGCAACACTAGAGAACCTATAGATTCCCAGAAAAGTATTATCTCAAAAAGTAGCATTTTTATATAAAAATCAATTTCCCATTTTCATGGGAGTTTTATGCCTCTAACCCTCCAAGAAAGTGGAGAGTCTACTGTAGTTTAACACAGAATGCCATCTCTTTTTTAACAATAGTTTAGTTACTTTTTATGGTTATGCAGTCTTGTTAAACTGTGGAAGAATAATATGTATTGGTTAATAGTGCTACATTTTACTCTGCATCACAATGAGTTGTAGAAATTGAAATTACAAGAAGGTGGAGAAAAAGACAATGTATTTCATACCATAGGACAGAAACCAGTAATGCTCAGTTTTTAAAAAAAGAAAAAGAAAATGTGACATTCAAAATTATAATTTGTTATTACATTTTCTATATTTTTATGGACAGTAAAACGTTTTTTTTTTAAAAAAATGCCAATATAATAGCAAACAAATTCCTTGTGAGCCTTGAAACCATAACTAATTACTTTTTTTCAAGTGACCCTGTAAATTCTACTAATTCAATTTTGTGGTTTTTTCGGTGTCATTTCTGAGGAACCAGCTTAGTGCCATCACTGTTTTAAGTCTCAACAGGAAATGTGAGGTTAACACAATTATCATACAGTGCAAAAGCTTTATAATGTTGGGAGAGAATCTTCCCACATTTCTCCCTTCCTAACAAACAGTAAGAAAAGTTAACTCTATGACACTAATGAAAGTTGTACTATGAACAACCGTACCGTGCTCTTTCAGCCTAATGGCACAAATGTAGTGTGCTATTTCTTTTAATTCAAATACAGACTACGAATAACTTATCTGGGATTCCAAAATTCAAGATACTCCAAAATCCAAAATAGTCCACATGGGTGGCCGAGATAGTAACACTTTGTTTCTGATTATTCAAGGTACATAAACTTTATATCATGCTCAATTTTTCTATAAAAATATCGTATAATATTACCTCCAGGCTGTGAGTATGAATTGCATATGAAACATAAATTAATTTCATGTTAACACTTGGGGCCAATCTCGAAGATTGTACTCAAGTCCAATGAAAATACAGGAATTCCATTTAAAAAAATGAAATCTAAGTCACTTCTGGTCCCAAGCATTTCAGATAAGGGATACTCATCCTGTTTAAGCAGCCAACTCTTAAGAAATGTACTGGCTCTTAGGATACTCAACCCTGGCCAACAAAGTTTTGAAAGTAATCTTTTATTTTCTATCAGCCACCTGAGCAGTGGACCAGACTATTCTTTCCACTATTCTAACATCTTTGGAATAGTTTTTATACTATGGTGACATGCAGTCATTAGAAAAACCTGGTCTCGTATCATTATTTTCAATAGGCTTAAAGAGGCGGAATGTATCTTTCTCTATCTCATTTCAATTGCAAGCTTCTGAGTATATTCAAAAGTACAAATTGAGTTGCAACTTCGATAAAAACATAGCTCAGTCATACAATTGATTTTGTACATTGATCAACAGATGATCATTTAAGTACACTGCTATCTATTTGGTTTATTTTTAAAAAAAATATGATAGGAATCGGACTATATTATTTTGATTACCTCCATCACACTAAGCAAGTTAAACAAAAAAAAATCTGTTTTTCTTAAACTGCAACAGAACAGTTCAAGAAATTATATGAACATCCAGTTAAACTGATTAGGAAGAAAACCTCAAAATTAGTTAGAAGACCAATTTGAAACAAGTATTCTTTTTAAAGTGATCCAAATAGCCGTGAGCAGTCATTCATTGGGTCCAATGAGAATGAGCATTAAAGCCTGGGAAGAGATGTAAATGTTTTGAATTTGCCTAAGCTTTCACAATCTGAATAAAACAGACAAAGCATTGATTGTGTTAAAAACATAATTCCCTCCCAATATTTCATTTTTTTAAAACCCTTGCAATCATAGTTCTAATTATTCTAATTAGAACTAATGTTTGAATTATTTCACTGTAAAGAATACTTTGCAACTTCTGTTTCTGCATTATGACCAATTCCTAGTTCTAATCAATTCAACCCCTGAAGTTGTTTGATTTGAGGACTCAAACTGGACCAAGCTGTGTAAATCAGCAGGAACATTAAAAGGTGATATAATAAAAAAGAAAAAAGTACTCCAGACACCGGGGGGGGGGGGGCACAAATTGGGAGCAATTCCACTGCTTATTTGGAAGCATGGATATTTTCAAGGGACCGTATGGTGTCACATGGCATGTGATGTCGAAATGCCACATCCAGCTTTAGGCAACCATTTTCCCCAAACTGCTCCACTTTTTATGGGGCTGAGGTTTTTAAACAATGAATAGTTTTTTCTTAAAGTTGTCATCAAGTTCCAAAAATGCAACTCAGCCAGTACTAGTAGAATTGGAACTACACCCAAAGATAACACTCAAGAGAAATAATAAGCATTTAGGATCCTGCCCCCTCCACCCTGGTAACTCCTTTGCTGACTTAAGAAACTGCATCTAGTCTGGAATAATTCTTAAACAACACACTTCTCCCTCTCCAACTTCCAGCTTGTTCTTGCCCTCACTGTATCCCTTCTCAATTGGGTTTCAGCACCACCATTTTCAATTTTATGCTATGCTACTCTTAATACATTGGGTTTTCAAGCAGATACCAAACACTACTTGTGGAATGTGTAATAAAGCAATGTTTTTTTTTCCTTCCAACAAAAGCAAGTGTGGAAAGATAACTTTCTCCAGTGTATGAAGCAGTTTCTATTTTAACATTTTATATCTGTCTGCAGAAGTCATTTTCTCTCCATCTTAAAGCTCTAACTTATCCGTTCATACATTTGTGCATTGATTCCCCAAGTCATCTGGGCAAATCAGTGAAATGTAAAAGTGCTCTCTTATCTCTGGCTGTTCTTTTAGAATTGAATTGAATTTGCATCTCTATTCTACTTGAATTTGACTCTATAAATGTGTATATGGATATACCTTCATGTATGCAAGAACCAGCGTGGTGTAATGGTTTGAACATTGCATGATGACTCTGGAACCCACAGTTTGAACCCCCTTTATGGCGTAGAAACCCACTGGATAACTCTGGGCAAGTTACACACTCTCAGCCTCAGAGGAAAGCAAAGGAAAGCCCTCACTGATTAAATTTCACCAAGAAAAACCCCATAATAGGGTCACCTTGGGGTTGTCATAAATTGAAAACAACCTGGAGGCACACAACAACAGTGTCGAAATGTCTATGATTACTTTCTTGCATGTACACAGATAAAGCCTCTGATGAAAATGTATATAAACATAGCCATGGCAAAATACTTCGGTAATTGCTGATTAACAATGAAAAGATAGCCAGGAATGTATTGGTCTGGAGACCATCACATGCTGTGCCGAAATACAAACCACGCTGTACACAGTCAAGACTGCAGTGCACATAATGAGTTATTGTGCATAGATGTTTTACAATACAATTTCCTGAGGGGCCCCTATGCAATTCTTTAGGGGCTTAACTTTTCACTAAAATGACTTCTATGTAAGCTTCTTAGGTAAAATACAAAATCATGTTTAGATTAATGGGGTTGCTTTCCACCCCACCCCACCCCCGATCCACCACAATAGTTCTTTTTATCCTTAATATGCCATATTTTAATTTTTTCTCAATGAAAGAGCAGCATGATAAAGAGTAGCCATGCTGAATGAGATTATGTATGGTCTCTGCTTTCCAGTGTGCATGGGAGGCTTTAACTGGTAAAAAAGTCATTTCCTTTAAGGCTTCTCTTCCTAGTTAATCCATGAAAAATAATAAATTCCAAGGCTGCAAAGAGCTGTGGCTTTTCCTTCTAAAGCGACATGTATTTGCAGGAGGAGCTGTGCAAAGATTCAAAGACTAGATTTTAAACTAGCAGAAGCACAATGGAAGCAGTGGGAATCTTTTCCCATTGGGTTTCCTACAAAATTGGAAGGGTGATACTGGCATGCTCCATCATCAACAACAACAAAAAGGAAGCTATACGTTACCGGCACAGAAGTTCATAAGTGCTGAGGAATTGCACACCGAGGCAAGGCAAGGCAAGGCTTCTTCCATTCTTGCCACCTATGTAGGAGAGCCGCAAGCCAGTTCTGTCTATGTTTCCTTCTACCTTCCCAGTGCTTCACAGCAATCTCCAGCTCTCCAAATCAGACAACATATTTTGAATTCTAAGGAAATCCTGCCAGTCCAGATGGCCCACCAACAAAAGTACTTATGCGCAGCAGAAATAAGAAGTTCTTGCAAATAAGCTTTCCTCCTTCTGAGCCCTGGAACTCTACACAGAAGAAGAGATTCTGCCTTTGGCTGTGTGTGAGAGAGTGAGAGAGGCAGAGGGGGGAGTGGGATGCATGGAAGGGGGGGGGGGAGAGAGAGAGAAATCTGAGACCGCTCAAAGGAGTGGCTAAATCCTAGACGTCATAAATACACTAATAAAGGCACTTACTAGTACAGAGGCTACACAGTGATCTGTCATACAGTACAACTTTGGAATTAAAGGGCTTACCAAGTGCAACAAGTTTGCATTTTGTTTTCTTTTTATTGAAGACGGTGAAAATTAAGACATCCATAAGATTTTTATGAACAGGCAGACCAAATCAACCAGAATGCAACCATTTCAATATAATCCAGATCCTCTTTTAGTTTAAATAAATAAAAACCACACACACACTAAATACCACAAGGAACATCAAAGCTGCTGGCTTCTTCACAAACCAAATTATTGTCACAATTTCCTTCGGAAAGTTTGCACAAAACAAGGACAATAGTGATAGCAAGTGGGATCAGCAAGAAGAACTTGTACTTCTGTTTAAAGCAAAGTAGGTCATAGAATTCATCATATGACATAAGATAATATACTATTCTGAAACAATGAGGGGAAGAATAGATGAAAAGTTAATAAAAGTGAAATAATAAAAGAAGGAATAAGATGCTCAAAGAAAAGCCTGCAATGCACCTAGAATGCTCAAAACTGGTGCTCTCTGTGTGATGCATTCACCCCATTGTTTTGCAGACGGCATGGCTAATGGCACTAGGTTGGGGAAGGCTAAGCTCAAATATTAAAAAGGCTGCCATCTGCCTGCCAGAAGCGGGGAGGAGAGAGTGAACCTACAACAAAGATTAATGTATGTAACAAACAATTGTTATTCATCTATGTACCTAGCATCTGTGGCACTATTATCCGATACAAGCAAAACATTATAGCTGAGAACCTGTTCAACCTAGTGCCAAATTATGTAAGTACAGTTATGCCACAGAACTGGAAGATCCCTGCACTCTCCCTTTGTACAATAGCTGATCCAACTGTCCACTCATCGCTAAAGATCAAGTCAAGTAAAGTCAACTTTATTTATACCCCGTCCCATCTCCTCTTGGAGACTTGGGGCAGCTTACAACATCAATGGCAGCCATTTGATTCAATATAATACACAGTGAAAATGCAAAGTTAAAATCTTGATTTTAACTATGAGACGCTAATGAGATGTTTGATTGATTTATAATGATTGCTTATTATGCAACTGTTTTAATTGTTTTTAACTGTTTTATGATGTATTGAGCATTGAATTTTGCTACTGTTAACTGCTTTGAGTTGCCCGAGGGCTGAGAAAAGCGGTTATAAATATAATAAATAAATCAATAAATCAATAAATAAATACATACATACATAATAAATTACATGAAGATAATTAAAACAACAATTCATCATAACTAAACATGAAAACAAATCAATAAAACACACATGACAATAATGATTAAAAGGAGATTAAAAACCCAACAAGAAGATTAAAACCATAGTAAGTTAGCACAGTAATATACAGATGTTTTGTATGAAGAAAGATCCATGTTTATGTCCCCACAGTTCTATTAGTAAGTTCCAGGTATCAGAAAGATAGCAAGATATCTGCTTGAAATCTTGAAGTGCCACTTCCACCATGCTGTTTTGGACATTCTTGGTCTCCTCTGGTTTTGGAAGTTAAGCAGGGGTGGCCATGGTAAGTAGTTGAATAGGATACCACCAAAGAGTATCAGAGATCTCTAGGTAGGGGTAGGAAAGAATCCTGCCTGAAAAACCATCTTAGACAGCTCACACTGCCATCACAGGGCTCATGCAACCTGAATAGCACACTGTCCTTGTGCAACTTCCAGAATAGTGGAAACTGCCCCTACAATGGCATAAAGTGATGACAGTATTCCAGTGAAAGTAATTAAACATTAAATGCATGGATATTGTGACTTTAAATCCAACATGGATGGATCGAATATTACAACTGAATGCAATATTGCCAAACTCAGTCTTCTTACTTGATATCCAGAAAATATACTGAGTAGATTCTAGTAGATGGGAATCACACTCTTTTAGCTTATCCCACCTCATACAAATTGTTATTGTTATTTCTAATTCGATACTATTCACTATACCTAACAACAAAATGTAATAAGAGGATAGAATCATTCCATGCACAACTTGGGCATCTTGGAGGAAGGTCATAGCACAGATAAGATTGCATTAGAAAGCTATAGATCTTGGGCTGTGACATTTTGAAATACTGATCACAGAGAAAGGCACAGTGTCTCGAGGGCGGGGCTGTGCAGCCCTTTTCAGATTATCATTTCATTATGTGTGTAAGAACTCATATTACAACTGCACTCCAGTTCATTTAATATGATCATGCTTTTGTCTGACTTGCAAAATTGAGCAAAGCCAGAGGAAAGCTAATGAATGCAACATGTGTTCACTTCTCTTGGTAGCCGTGTCTAAAGCCAACTGGCAGAACGATCACAGCGAGATAAATGTCAAAACAAAGCAATCTTACTATGTGGATTGCTCCCTGCCCCCAACTTCTCTTTAATATGTTAGCAATAATTTACATCTTTCTGAACATAAAGCCTTAAACATATCAGGCTTATTTATTATTAATGGACTACAAAGAGAAAAGAACTGTATGATGAAGGTGGGAGGGGGAGGAGAAAAAGTACAATGGAAGCAAATCTCAGCTGATGTGATTACATTTAATTTTGCAAGATACACCACTTTGGGGGGTTTTATGGGGGAAAGGGGCCAATGCTGTTGTATTCTGGACATATGAAAAGACATAACTCACTAGAAAAGATAATAATGCTTGGAAAGGTAGAAAGCAATAGGAAAATTGATACACTCAATTAAGGAAGCCCTGAATCTCCAAGGGTTGATGATGATAGGGTGGTTTGGAGGTGTCTTATTCATTGTATCACTACAAGTCAAAGTAGACTTGACAGCATGTAACAACAACAAAAAGAATAAAGAAGGATAGGGCTATCAATTAAGGTTTGGAAAAATATACTTCTAAGTGTTTGTTGCTGAGATGAAAGGACGGTCTGTTGCTTCATATTTGCACACATTCTGGGTGCCCATTGTTGGAACAGACATTAGGGACTCTTGGACAGATCCAGCAGAATCTTCTTTCACTTTCTTCTTTGAGAGAAGCTGGATGGGGTGGAAGTGCTGCTCCAAGAATTTCAGGCTTAATCTAGAGACCCAATTATGCTTACCCAGAGCTCCAGAGATGTTACAGTAATGCCAGCATTGTTCTTGCTGGTGGCAGAGCCAAGAAATGCACTTCCATGAAGATCTGGGGTGAGGGGGAGGGATGTGATATGCAAACTAAGAGACCCTTATCAGTACTTTTCAGGCAACAGATGCTAGAAGTGCACTAAGAAGAAGGAAAATACGAGTCGTACACTGACTTTCACTGTTCATCCAATTTGAAGAAGAAAAGGAATTTGTGTGCACACCATGCACAAATACACATATGTGAGAAAGATTAAGGGATAAGTATAAATTAAGTTGTAAACAGGGACAATATTCAAGAATGGTCTTCACCAACCATCATTTCTTACAAGCCCCAACCAGCCTCTCAAATGGGCAAAATTTCAGGACTTAGCATACCAAAACACACTTCACCAAAATATAACGCTGAAGACTGCAACTTTGCCAAAAAAACTTATTACTGCACAGGTGATTAATTCAATGCCTTAAACTGCACTTTCTATACTTGTTGGAGGTAAATGGGTACATTTCTTTACTATTTAACTTTTTGGTCTGAAAGCATTTCATTATTAGATGGCAGAAAAGTCCACATGTTTGATATTGTGTGAAGCATTACTTAACAAGAAAATGATCACTGATCTCCAAAGTGACCCTATGTTTTTTGAGAATTGGGTCATTCAGCACCAGACTTTTTATCTCTTTTTCTATCGTACTGATAGAAGATGAGCATAGGTGCCTTGAGTTGCATTTCTCATGGTTTTAGAGGGATCAGAATGCCTAATACTTCTTCTAACCTGAGGTTTCCAGTCACTAAATACTGTATTTAAAAATACTTAGAAATCATCCTACTCTTTTGTTTGAGGGAGGAATAAAATCTAAATAGGAAAGGGCACAATAAAAAATTACAATCATAATGTAAATTTCTTTTAACCATGAGGGCTGCAAAACTAAGTAGTTCAATTTCCGTTTCAAATATTTATTTTCTAGACATTTCGTCAATGTAACTGTTATTTTATTATTGTCATAACTCTGGCGTGGGCTAGTTCATGAGGTCACAAAGAGTCGGAAGTGATAGAACAAATAAGCAACAACAAATTGTCAATGCAAAAAATTTTTTAAAAAAATAGTGTGACTTATTTGCAAGAAATTAATAGGATTTAACTAAATTCATGTGATGGCTGTGGAGCCCAATGTGGATATCTGTTTAACTTTTCTTTATTTCACAGTAGGATCCTACTGAATCATTGCTAAGTAAATTCAGTCTAGCAGACAATAAAACCCAAATCCAACTGCTAGTTGCAACTGGTGAGTATGTGTGCCACTATAAGCCAATCTCCTGTTGACTTATGGTGCCTCTCTTAATGTCATATGATTTTCTTAGGCAAGAGATAGATATGGTTTTGCCAACTTAGGTTTGTAGATATAACGCAATGTCAATGGCTAGATCCAAAACCCTTTTTCTTGTAAAGCACATTGTTCCCCTTTGCATTTATGTTCCTTCACGTCATTTCTGATTTATAGATTTTTCTTGGCAAGATTTGTTCAAGGGGGGTGGGGGTGGAGGGGGGGCTGAAAGAATGTAATCCAATCGGTTTCATGGCAAAGCAGGGATTCAAACCCTAGTCTCCAGAGTCAAAGCACAATGCTCAATCACTACTCCATTCTTTGTCATGTTAACAGTGCTGTCCCAGTATCACCATAGGCAAGGAACAGAATATACTGCATTTTACAATGCACAAGCAGCAACTCTCTTTTGCACAGAAAATCATGTGTTGTCAGATGCTTCACCTGCCCTCTATTAGAAGCTGCAAGAA